CTGAGTTACTTTCCTAAGGCGGTGCTTCCACTTATCCTTTACTTTGAGCTCCTGTTCACATGCATGTGTAGAATATGATGAGATACAAAGTCCCTTGCCCCAGGCGGCTGGGTATATGTAATGTTACCATGTAGAGACTCGTCTCAAGCAAGGTCCACATACACAACTAAATTACAGACCAGTACTACTCAAAGGGTGGTCCGTGGACCAGTGCAATGAGATAAATACAGAAATTCAGATAAGGCACTTAGAAACTTTTACCAATTTAAGAAAGTAAGTTTGTTGAATCTAAAGATAAAAACATAGATGGGAATTGTGTATGTGTGTTATTATTTCATTTTTCTATTAATTTATTTTCATTATATTTTATATAAAATAGTCAGTCCTTGATAGATGTAAAAGAGCACTGATAAAAAGACACAAAATTGATCCTTCAGGGCTGGGGTTGTAGCTCAGTGGTTGAGCACTTGTCTCAGATATGGGAAGCACTGGATTTGATCCTCAGCACCACATTAAAAAATAAATAAATAAAATAAAGATATTGTGTCCATCTACAACTAAAAAAAATATTAAACAACAACAACAACAACAAAAACCCTGATCCTTCACTAAAGGTGGTTTGAGAAGCACAGAGGCCTCAATAGTAGGACAAGAACAACAAGGGGAAAGACATGTACTGGCCAGAAATACACATGAACACTTTGTTTTTCTGTCCTTAATGGACTCTGCTCACAAATTAAGAACAAATCTGACTTTTTGCTCTATTTTCTTTTTTGGCCTTGGCAGGACTTTCCCACTTAGTAAAGTTCAATTCCCAATGTTTGTTCTAATCAGTGTTAAAACTTTGCCTAACTTGACATTTCTAATACTTTAAAATACCATTTAAATGATTGTAATTTGAAATAGGTTTTAGGTGTAATTAAATGATATATATTAAAGTTGAAAAAAATAAGGTCTTCGCTAAAAAGATGTAACAACTAAATGTGACATATGATCCTGGATTAGATCAGGAAACAGATAACTATAAAGTATTATTGGGACAATTAACAAAATTTGAATCTAGACTATGGACTAGAAAATAACATTG